ACTTGTTTCAATTCATCCTCTTTTTCACCTGAAATTTCTCTAACAGGGTCGAATTGTCCAGTCGTATTACCATCTTCTGCTTGTTCTAAACATGCTCCATTCTCGTAACGGTTGTCTTTCGTCATTTTTGTGTCGTCTTGGATCGACCTTCTAAACTTATTTACCCTTCTGTTCCAATCTTCACAGGCTTGATCCAAGTTTTCTAACAGAATTCGTTGTCTATCTTCAGCTGATTTCAGGCACCATTCCAAGGTCGGTTGTTCGTCTTCTTCAACACCGATTCCTCTTTCATAACAATAGCCAACATTACGTGTTTCTTTGGTAGGTCTTATATCCACAGATTTTTGATAATAAACGAAGGCTTTATGTTGGTCCTTTTGAATTCCAATCCCATCTTGGTAACAATAACCCTTTGCACTTCCAGAGGGTTCAAAGAAGGGTCCTTTTTCCGCAAGTTCCATATCGGCAAGCCTTTGACGATCATTCTTTTCAGCCCAGATTTCTTCTTCACAACAGGGACCAAAACAGTTTTGTCCATTCAGCTACCATTTTCAGCATTTTTCAAATACCGTCCAAGTGCTCCGCGATTGGCCTTTTCAACTTCAATTCCATTTCCATAGCAATAGCCGTCGTCAAAGGTCTCTTCAACATTTTCCATATCGGCAGCTTTTTGAAGATATTCGAACGCATTTTGTTCGTCTTTTTCAGCTCCAATTCATTTGGCCTTTTTAACTTCTAGTCCATTATTTTCTTCCTTTTTAATGCTAGTTACGTTTCGATAATGGCGCCCACGGTTGACGGATTCTAGTTCTTCAAGCTTGAGTTCTTCCAAGTATCCATCGATCAGGTTTTTAGAGAAACTTCAGTGTTACGGTTATCATCCTCTACTTCCGGGACAAGATAAAGACCAAGTACTTCGTCAATCGGGTCCTTCTGATAACAGGACGGCGTTAAGAGAGCTTCCGGACTTGGAATTACCAGAGACGCAGCCGAGGCACCTTCTTCTTCTACAGGTGGGGTCAATCAGATATATGAGGGTAGGTATATAACGTCTTCTTTGTCATCGTCATCTAGGTTATTATCCTGGCTAACATCTGTTAATATTTCACAAAAATATTCTAGGGCTTGCGGGTCATAAAGACTACAGTCCCTTATGGTTTCA